AATGAAAAAGTGCTTTTTAAAAATAAAATGGACCCTATACTCATAGAGTTTCCATTTAGTTGGAAGAGATAAGTAACAAATAAATATATCATAGTCTATAAATTCCATGAAGGAAAATAAAACAAAGGAAAGGGACAAAGAGTGCAGGGGAACAGCAGTTTTTTTTTTGTTTTTTTTTTTACATTTTTAAAGATAATGTCCCACTTCAGCTATTTAAACATTATTTTTTTTTTTTGAGAGGGCATCTCTCATATTTATTGATCAAATGGTTGTTAAGAACACTAAAATTCTGTATAGGGGATTCAATGCACAATCATTAATCCTCCCCAAGCCTAATTCTCAACAGTCTCCAATCTTCTGAAGCATAACGAACAAGTTCTTACATGGTGAACAAGTTCTTACATAGTGAATAAGTTCTTACATGGTGAACAGTGCAAGGGCAGTCATCACAGAAACTTTCGGTTTTGATCACGCATCATGAACTCTAAACATCAAGTCAGGTATGATTATTCGTTTGATTTTTATACTTGATTTATATGTGAATCCCACATTTCTCCCTTATTATTATTTTAATAAAATGCTGAAGTGGTAGGTAGATGCAAGATAAAGGTAGAAAACATAATTTAGTGCTGTAAGAGGGCAAATGTAGATGATCAGGTCTGTGCCTATAGACTAAGTGTTAATCCAAGCTAGACAAGGGCAACAAAACATCCACGGATGCAGAAGATTTCTCTAGGGGAACAGCAGTTTTTGTTAGGATAGTGAGAGGAGGCTGCTCTGAAAAGGTGACAGTTGAGCGAAGATGTTAGTGAAGTGACAGGACCCTTGTACTAAACAGCTGAATCCTTCTTTATTGTTATATTTTAGTGAACATACCAGACACACATGCAGAGTTTCATAGTTCACTTTTTCTACCACATTTTATTAGTAAATTTTCAAATCTCTGTTAACAGCAGACACCCACATGCTCGCAGCCATGATTCCACCATCAATAGTTTACCATCCTGGCTTACACGTACCCATCTATCTATCCCTCTCTCCGTCATAGGTTTAATTTTAATCTTGATGTCTGTATCTTTTAATCCATAAATTCTTAAGCTAATCAGTTGTGAATTTCCTTTCCCCCAGTTTTCAGAAACTTAACAATCATGAATAGCAAGGAAGTTTATAATCAGTTATATATTGTTACAGATTTGAATTTTATTTCATTTTGCTTTTTACATGTAATTCCCCAGTCCATTTTGAGTCCATTTCAGATTGTGGCATCAGGCAAGGATCTTGCTTTATTTCCCAAGTAACTTGTTTCCCTAACAAACTTGTCAAACAAGGCAGCATTTCCTATGTTGGCTGGTCACTTTTTTTAAAAAGTATAAGTTTTGATGTATCCTTGGGTATTGTTTCAATTTGTCTCTTGTGTTCATTTGATTTGGCTATTGTTTTATTTTGCTAGCACCTCACTTTTATATTTATATTTTATAATACATTTAATGTGTAATAAGGCAAATCCTCCCCAATTGTTTTCTTTTTCAGAATTTTATTAGCTGTCACGTGCTTTTTCTTGTAAATAAATATTAAAATCATCTATATTCTAAAATAACTGGCTGAAATTTTAATTCACTTGCATGTTTAATGCTTTATTTGAAAGGAATCTTTCCTCATCTTTAAACAAGGAATAATAGCAGCTTTTTGATGGGTTTATTGTATGGATTTAAATAACACACAAGAAGTATTTAACATGATATATCAACTCAGAGCCTGGTCTCATTTTACAGAAGGCTCATGTAAGATTTATTGGGACCCTACCCAACTGCAGTTCATTTCTGGAGTTTCTCAGACTCATTCTGAAGCTAGAAGGAAATGGCTCTGAGTTATCACAATTCAGAAACAAGAACACGTTGGAAGAGGTGAAGTGGTCGCACCACCTGAGAAATGTCTTCCCACCATTGTAGCAGAGTTCTCTAGGTGTCATCAGACTAGATGTCCAGGGGGGCCCTGCACCCACACCCCCTTCCTACAGCGCCCGTTCTACATTGCCATGTTAGTCTGGGCTTTGCATTTACACTTATGCTCACAGCTCACAGTAGTCTGGGATCTGGCACCAGTTTTACTTAGCTTCCCAGAATACAGGCCAGGAAGCACAGTGTGTGTGGGCATAACATCACACACGTCTGTATCGGGGTCCTTCTAACAACCTAGGCCTGGCTTCTCACCCACAAACAACCCATTCAGCTGGTAGTGATGAGACCATGTGGATGTGTACATCACCCCAGCATAGAAAGCTCAACCCAGGAGCTATAATGCCCATAAGCACAGCTTCCAAGGCCCTGCAGGACACCAAGGGTGTGGGCGTGGGTGTAAGAGGTAACACAGAAGCTCGTGTTCTCTGGAAGGGTTTGGAATAGTCCTGGACGAGAAAACCCTCAGGGCCTGTGTGCCTGCTCACACCCCTCAGGCCAGATGCCCTTCACCTTCGGGACTAACTCCACAATGACCAGGTACAGCTGACACTTCACATTTATCCTGACCCAGAATGTTTCAAAGAAACAATATAAGAAGGTAAATCCGAGCTCATCTTCCCATGAGGAAAAAGTTTAAGCCTACTGGGAGCCCTTTCTCCTCACCACCCACCCCCAGTTTTCGGTCTTCTTCCTGCACTGCCTTTTCCTGACAGGACCAGGCTTCAGGGCCTCTCCACACGCTAAGGAACCCCTGTGCCACTCCATTCGCCAAGGCAGTGGGGAGCCTACACCCGCTGCATCTGTGTGTCCCTTCTGCCTGGTCCTGCTCTCACTTCTCCGAGCTGGGCTGGGTGTGCATCACGGCGTGCTAGGGGCCTGCTGCTGGCCTGGCCGTGTTTTTTCCCCTCAGGAAAGGGAAAGGTTTGAGGCTACCGCCAGTTCTCCATGTTCCCTCTTCAGCCCTGTTTTCAGCAGAAGTTCCTTGAGACTTCTACTCAGTTTCTTCCTGATCTGTCCCTGGCCTCATCCAAATCTAAAACCCAGTCCCCTGCGGTGGCACTGGCCGCACCCCTCGGCTGCACACGGTGGCTGTTGGTAGTGTGCCCAGATCGCCTCCCTGGTTGGACGTGGCCTCCCACTGCTCCTGCCTCTGGTCCTGGCATCTTAGCGGACCCTCCCTGTTTTCTGGGGTTCACTGTTCTCTCCATGCCCCTTCTTTTGTGGATGAACCCACCACAGTCTCCATCACCCACTCTTCCTTTCCTCAGGGCCTGGGGTAGAGTAGACTTCCAATAAACGTCCGATGACTTAGGGTTAAGAAATAACCAATGGTACAGAGTCAGTCCCCCCAGTGTTTTTTATTTCTATGCCCTGATCAGCAAAAGTGACTGTCAGCAACAGTGAATCTATTGCCTGATATTTTTATACAAAAAAATTCTTGCCTGCAAAAATACCGTAAAGGTGGAGAAAATGGAAAAGACTTATGCTCACTTTTCCCTGAGAGACAGGGTTCCCAATTTCTTTCAGATACGCCTGCACCTGATCTGAGAAGATTATCTCTAATGCTGAAAACCCTGACAGGCAGTGAGTGATGGGAGAATACTAAAAAATCAAAAAGAAAAGAGGGTACTGCTTAGTTTTTCTGTGTTCCACCAGCGGTTTCCTAGGTTCCCAGGAGGGACTGCTGGAGGTAGAATTGGCTTCGAAGTGAACAACATGATGGAGTTTTAGTCAGAATTTTTAGTTCCACTCTCATTTCACTGATTCTCAGTGGCTACTTGCTGCAGTCTGGTTTTCTGAGGGGAAGTGGGGGATTGTTTTTGTTTTTTTGTGGTTGCCTTTGATGAGGGAATGTAACCATAGCTCACATTTGTCCGGCATGTGGTACATTCCAAGTACATAGCTAATGATGCACTGCCCATCATGTCCTAACTCAGTAAATGTCATAATGCCTGTTTTAGTGTAGAGAAACTGTGGTATTGAGAGATTAATTAACTATCTGAAGGTCACACAGCCAATAAGCAGCAGAGCCAGCATTTGAATTCAGTCTGGCTCCAAAGTTCATGTTCTTACTCACCACACTGTACTGTCTCTTACACACTTTTTTTGTTCCATAACAGTTACTAATATTTTAATGCACAACAGGGGATCTTTTCACAAACCCAAGTAAAGAGGTAACTCTCTTATCTCCATGTATACTGTGTTAAGCTTCTTAATTTCAATCAGTCCCTGACATTTCTTTCTCATTAAATGATTAATCTGGCTTTTAAGATGGGCACAGGTAGATCTGGATTGGATTGATTTCTACTGTGACCTTACAATATATTTAAATATGTCATCAAGAAACTCGATTGTCATAATGTTTTACTTTCCATGATAAATAGTAGACTTTACTCCATCTTTGAGTTCCTTGTAGTGCCTGCTTGTTTTATAATGTAGCAGATAATGAAGCAGATGCTTTCATCCCGTGAAAAGCCCCCGATCTGGTGCTCATTTCCAGGTATCAAGGGTTGAGCCATATTCCCGTAGTTCTGACTCTCCCTGTCTCGGTCTTGCTTCCTCTGCTTTCCTGCTGGCCCCTTCTGTTCACCGGCCCCCAGGGGCAGAGAAGTGAGGCGGTACGGCTGGAGTGTCTTCTGCCCTTTCAAATCTGAGTGCTGAATTCACGTCCCTGAGTTTATTAAGAGTTGTTTCCAGTAGGAAATCTTTAATCAGAGTCTAGTCCATAGATGGGAGGTCTAATCTAGCCCCAAACCTTCCTCCCCGTGGCCCCCCACCCCCACCTCCTCCAATTAAATATTTGGGATTGTGATTTCCCATTAGGACTGACTTATGCTGAAAAATGGTCTACTACTTTTTGTTTCTGCCTGTTTAAGTTTCAGAAATTTGATTTCATGGTTTCTCATTTTAAACATCTTTGCTCCATTTTTCACATGTAGTTCAATTTCAAAGTGTGTTGCACTGTACTTGTTTTTGCCAAGAATACCATCACTATGACTTCATTCTCTGGTTGTTTTAATAGCAAGTTTTATCTGCCTACAGGAGAATATTAAAAAGTGAGCCTCCATATCCTCAAGAAATGAGTGCTTTAACTAAAGACCTAATTCAGCGCCTTTTGATGAAAGATCCCAAGAAAAGATTGGGATGTGGTCCCCGAGATGCGGATGAAATCAAAGAACATCTCTTTTTTCAGGTGAAATTTATTGAACAGATGGTTTTATAGGCCTTTCTCTTTCAGCATTCTTGGAGAAATAAGTGAACATGGTCCCTTTTGGGGTCATTTTCTCCCTACTTTCATAGATGGCATCTGTTTTAAAATGACAAGGACCCTTTGGGAATATTCAGAGTTCTCTAATAGAGACCTAAATGTTTTTTTCCTGCCTAAATGAGGTGAGAATGGAGAGGAACATAATAGCATTCAATTTTCTACATACTAATTGGTTAGAGTTTCTGAGGATTAGTTTCCATTTATGATCTTGAAATTTAGGTGTATGGACAGAGGAGGCGTTTTTATTTACTTCTCCCTCAGTTCCTGAGCTGTTACCGCCAATGTGTTCCATCTTTTAGATAGTGGTTTCCTCTCATCTTTTCCCAGGAAAAATTTTAGAATTCTTAATCTACCTATTTCTCAGTTGCATATCTGTAATATGGAGAGGATTATTCATTTATTTTCTTTGCTTATTCTGAAAAAGCCTAAGGAGACCATTCAACAGAAACCAAGACATCTTACTCAACTTAGTTTGCTCAATTTAGTCAAAAAAATCCCCAAAATGTTAAACAATTGGGGAAAGAAGTTAAGTTGACTGAGTTGGCTAATGGTCAACCTGGGATACCATGGCCTTGATTTTTAAAACCCTGAGCTTATGACTTTTAAATAAAATTTCATCATTCCAACAAGAACAACCTAAATATTTATGGTCTAAAGAGACCATCCCAGTTTTATTTTTATTCTGAAAACTGAGCTTGATATTATTATCATAAAAACAGATGAAAGTAGCATAAGAAAACAAAGTAAAAAATCTGTTGTGGAGTTGGCTTTCATGTTGTTTGTTGTTTTTAAATACAGAAAAACAAATAGTGATTGAGAATAAGAATTATCTCTGTATTTCTGTGCTCAAAAAATGGCATATTTACTTCTCAGTTGTAACCATTTAAAAAATATTTCTGTAAGTCTTCCAGAAATTCAGTTACATAGTAAGAAATTTATTTAGAATAAGATTAATTTGTCAGTATGTGCATTTACTTTATAGGTTGGTATGACTTAAGATTAATATTTGAACACACTATTTCAGATACTTTGTTCAGAAGTTAGGCTCAAAAGTTAACAGTCAGGTAATATTCAAGAAAGTATTCAAACAAAATACCCCCAAGTCATGTTTTCCTAGGATCTTTTTCTCCATGGTTCCCTGTATTTGTGAATATTACAGTATGTCTTTCACATAGAGAAATTTCTCTTTTCTTTATCTTGGGAATAGTAATTTTAGATCATTTAATTGCCTTGACTTTGTAAATAGCAGACACTTTAGGAAAGACCAGGATTCTGCTTGTAAAGACTTAAATGGAGTGGAGGTGGAGAGGAGCATAATAGCATTCAGTTTTCCACATACGGACTATTCTCCTGCTAACAACGTATTTCTTTAATGAGTCCTCCACTCTAGAAGTTTCTCTTAATGTATATACAAGAGCCAAGCACAAATCATATGCTTATAATGGAACATTACAGCCAAAGAGAGGAAAGAGCGCTAACCAGAAAGTCAAGAGGTTGACCCTTCCACTAGCTAATGTTTAAGTGAAGAGTTCTTATTTCTGGGCTTCAGTCTCCATCTGGATCAAATAAAGAGATGAACTAAATGATCTCTCAAACCCATTTTAGGTGAGAAATTTGGACCTCTGTAATCTAATGATTTTTATCTCCACTGCCTCCACAAGAGGGCATAATAAAAACATTTTATGTTAGTTGATCAAACTTACTGAATGTCATCAAAAAAATGCAGGTTGCACATTTTGCCATCTCTGAAAGCAGTATGCATCTTACAGTGGGTGACATCTTATTATATTAATTGGTAATGGTTTTTATTTCTTAACAGTACATAAAATAATGGTGTATCTTACTGTCAATGATGACATCTTAGACTTGAAAAAATATATTAATAAGATATCTATAGGATTTAGTTCAGTAAGCATTATAGAAGGTTGTTTTAAATAACAGAACGAGCATAAAGAAAACTGAACAGAACTGAATTTGAATAATAAAAAACATAGTGGTTTATCAGACAGTATCTGGGGTGTGTGGAAATGGAGCTTGGATTTTCCCATGGGGGAGAGAAGAGACAATATTTAAAATGCTTGAATGCACTTGACTGAGAAAAGAATAATTACATCAGCATGATGGTATCATTAAACATATAGGCATAAATAAATGCATGACTTACAGTGAGTTTATTTTCTAATCTGTCCAGATGACCAGGAGGAAAAGCAAGTACAGGAGGAGAGCTAATTAACACTGCCTCTAGAAAAATAGGAATAGCCTTTCCAAGTTAATATTCTTACCAAAGAGCATTATAAAACCCTTTATTTTAGTTTAGTTTTCTTTTGGCTTAACACCTTTCTCAGGAGGCTCAGGACAAAAGTAATTTTTCTGTCATCTCTAAGAGTGACCTGGGGCATCCTGCTGCCCCCCACCAGAGGACATGGTAACACTCCAGAGTGATGGAAAGTAGCTCATCTTGCAGACACAGTGTTGGCTGAGCTGCAGTCAGAGAATGTGCTCATGCTTGGAAAGGAATTTTTGTGATCATTGGTTTGGAATATGTGCCTCTTGCCCTATAGATGAATTAAAATCTGAATCTATCTTTTTTATTCTTAGAAAATATATTTTGACTTTTGTTGATTTCTGCTGTGACCCAGCTTTCCTTCTTTGTTTTTAGAAAATAAATTGGGATGACTTAGCTGCCAAAAAAGTGGCTGCACCCTTTAAGCCAGTCATCCGAGATGAATTAGATGTGAGTAACTTTGCAGAAGAGTTCACGGAGATGGACCCCACCTATTCTCCAGCCGCGCTGCCACCGAGCTCAGAGAGGCTGTTCCAGGTAACCTCTCGAGAGCGCACACGCGCACCTGGGCCCGGGTGCTTTGGAAGGAAAGACACCTCTTCCCGTTTAAATACAGAGATACTGCAAATTAACTGAAACTGGTGGTTTGTTAACTAGTGGATATTGTTTGTGCTCAGTTTGCTATAAAGAAATGTTGACTTTATGCTTGAAATTTTATTTATGTGAGGGATCCTTTATAGAAAAATACGATACTACTTTATTTTTCCTCTATTCATGTAAAATATTCTTTAGTTCATCAACAGTATTATCTGATTCTTTATCTTCAGTGAATAATCTTAACTGCTTTCCAACTCTTAAAAAAAGATATAGAAAGGATTTCATGTTTAGGAAAGGATCTTTCTCAGACTTAAGATACAATATTTTAACTATTAATTGGCATCACCGCTTTGACTCCCATAAGTATGATGTAAGTGTGACTTAATCTAGCCATCCAGACAGTGATGTCTAGCACATGGCTGAGCACGTGGTAGATGTTTAAAAATAATGTTCATTGAACTAGTGAATGTTCTAGCTTAGACAGATTAATTATGCATCATTTAACCACTTTTCTTGAAAACGCAACTTAAAATTTTATTAGTCTAAGGAAATATAATTAGAGTCCAATAATGGCTAAATTAGAAATTTACTGTAATGAAGTTTGCTGTTTTTCTAGTTTGCAAACCAGTACACTTGGACCCCTTTGCCTAATACCTTAACTCTACCTTTTTTGAGAAGTCAGTTGTGTTTATAAGCAACCTTTTATCAGCAATGTGAAAAACTTAAAGCTATGAGTCAGATATTGAGGATGGAATAAGGAAGAAGTATTTTTCTGCCTTTAATTTTGAATTGGTTTAATTCTACCAGAAGATGGCATTATCTCCTTCTTAAAAGCATTTTCCTTTTGGTTTGAAATAACTGCATTTTGGATCACAAATAAAATAAGATTGATCTTAACAAATATTTGAGCATTTTTCATTCTTTTTTCTTGATTTCAGAAATTATTGCAATTTTGTCTGGGCTACGCAGGAACATTGCAAATCCTTGTTTTTTACCTTTCTTTCCATTTTTCAGGGCTATTCCTTTGTTGCTCCTTCTATTCTGTTCAAGCGTAATGCAGCCGTCATAGACCCTTTGCAGTTCCACATGGGGGCTGACCGTCCTGGAGTGACAAATGTTGCCAGGAGTGCAATGATGAAGGTATATAGATGTCATCTATTAAAGACATGTTTATGGTTTAAATACCAACACTAATTAACATTCTCAAGTCCAGTAAATTTAATAGACTTACCATTCGACTAAGATGTAATTTTAAGAAATGAGTACATGGAAATAGCAGTATTTTCCCTAGAGAATTATCAATTTGAATAAGCTCCTTTTTACAATGAAAGAAAATTATGTATGTTAAATTACATAGATGAAAGTAGGAAATGAACTAAAGTAAGATAAATTTTGGAAGATTATAAATGTATACCATGCATATTTATTAACATGAACAATGTTCTTTACAATTTTACTTTTCCCTGTTTATTACTAATATTTTCTTAAGTTAAATGATGTTGGGTTTTGTTATCAGGATTCTCCATTCTATCAACACTATGATCTAGATCTGAAGGACAAACCACTGGGAGAAGGAAGCTTTTCAATTTGTCGGAAGTGCATACACAAAAAAAGTAACCAAGCATTTGCAGTCAAAATAATCAGCAAAAGGTATGAGCATTTCTGGCAGTGTCTTTTGTGTATTCATTTTATTCTGTGAACTTGGTAAACTAAGTTGTTTATTTTAAAATCAATGGTATATCATAAGGCTGTTTAGCCATTCAGCTCATCAGTTGATCTGTTATACTGCTAGCTCTATCCATCTTGATCTTTCTGATCAAGTTATCCATCTTAGACATAAATCATAGTAGGATACACTTTTGAGGTTCTTACAAGAAAACTTTCTTGTGCCAGTGGTATTTAATCAGACTTGCTTAGTAATTTCAGTAGCTTTGAGAGCCAGCTAGTTGTTTTGGTGACTGATTTTTACCTCTGTGGTTGTGTGTTCTTATTGCCAAATTGCCAGGCATCCATCCCCTCCCGTGATTAGCTCTTTTTTGACTCAAGAAATAATCATTTTCTCAGGAATAATGCATCACTTGTTCTGGTAGGTAGTGTGACTCTTTTTTTTTTTCATGAAAACGTCATTCTGATTCTCTGACACTTATATTCTGAATCTCTTGTAAATAAAAATACAATCAGGGTTGGGACAATACTAACATGAAAGCTTGGTGACGAGGTATGTTGAGGCTAACTGCTTCATCTTGCAGGATGGAAGCCAACACTCAGAAAGAAATAACAGCTCTGAAACTCTGTGAAGGACACCCCAATATCGTGAAATTGCATGAGATTTTTCATGACCAGGTATGCCACACTTTTTTCCTGCACACACTAGTTCATGTACAAGGTTCTACTTTCACCAGTTTTGTTGATGCTGCTGCGCCAGTCAGGGATATGGGACGTGACCCAGCCACCAGAGAGGGCAGAGGAACCACCCCTCCCCACAGCTGGTGCATCCTTTCACTTGAGCTTCTGTCGCTCACAGCTGTCACGGATGGCCTGTAGGATGGAAGGGCAGGAGCCCAGTGGCCCTCTCTGCTAATTATAATAGCCAGCTCAGCTGCTGCCCCACTCAGCTGAATTGCCGCTTACCTCTCAGTACTCTGTAATTTTCAGCCTTCAACTTTCTCTAAGCAGAATTCAATGCCGCTTACCTCTCAGTACTCTGTAATTTTCAGCCTTCAACTTTCTCTAAGCAGAATTCAGAAAGCCTTAAGCCTAATTAGTGCAAGCTATGGGAGCAGGAAGCAAAAGGGAAGATGCTCGCTCCCCTTCCATCCTCTTACTCTAGGTGGCATATTCTGCTCAGACTGCAGGCCAGCAGGCTGCCCCCTCCTCCTCTCCCAGCCCTGCTTTCCAACAGGAACCTAACACAGAGGCATGTGACTTTGGAAGAATGCCATTGTGTCAGGTCCACGTCTCCTCCCCAGCCCTCCACTGCCACCTGCCATGCCAGAAACTGCTCCATTCCACTTGTCTTTCCCTGGGACTGGGTGAGATGACACAGCCCTACTCGAGACAACATGCTAAGGGTGCAAAAGGCAACCCCAAGCCTGGGTGTGGTCTCCTATAACTTTACTGAAGAAGGACCCAAGATTCAGGAAGACCACGAGACTCGTCCAAGCCCACCCAGCAAGTTGGTGTACATCTAGTCAGGAAAACCTGGCGTCCGGTTCTGGGCTCTCTCCATTGTGCTGCCGCACATCCATGCCCTAGGAAACGGCGCCCTGTTCTCAACTCCACTGAAATCTGACATGCTGCGTGCAGGGATGGTGCATCACATGAAACCAGACAGCAACAGCAGTCACCAATGACAAGCACTGCTGTTTCTCCCTGTATTCCTGTGAGCTCCAGGAACTGTGCCAGACACTGCCTATATTATCTGGGTCAGTCCTAGAGTAACTATGAGGGGAGAAAGCCGAAAGGCACAGAGCGGAAGCAACAGGGTCTCACCGTTGGTAAGTGCTCATGCAGGGGCTTGAGCCCAGGCACTCCAGCTGCAGGACAAGGGTTTCATTACTTGGCCCTGCTGCCTTAGGGGAGGCAGAAACACAGTCTGGGTTTCACACCAGGTGAGCAAGTGCCCCAAAACAGTATCACCATCCACTTGCTCTTCTGTTCTTCTAGTCAGAAAAGAAGTATCTTTGAAGCAAGGATCTGGAGGAACTGCTCTCCCAGACCCTCTGTTCAGCTACAGTGGAGGTTCTGAGGCTCTGCCCACTGGAGGTGTTTAGGTAGAGCCTGGACAATCTCCTGTTGAAGATGATTTCACACGTCAATCAAGGGATTGGTGGATGCCCTTGACCACGCCCCCAGTGGTTCTGCAGCCGTGCCCCTAGCTATATCCCAGCAAAGATTACGATCTTGCTCTCTGACCTTCAGACTGACATCAGGTCTCAGGAACTGCACCCCTAACCTTTTCTCTGTGTCACAAATGAAATTTATTACATGCTGTTTTTATTTTCAAGAGTTACTAGAATATAAATTGTCTTAATGATATATCCCTACATATATACTAGTGTAAATATATTATCACTCTAATATTCAGTTGTTGATACCTTGAGTTCTTTGTTTTGTGATGGTGACATAATTGCCTCGACATCCCCAAATCCACAGTCTTCTTTTCAACGGATGGGTGAAGTTGGCTGAGGGTGGATCTTCAGCCTCTATACAGGCTGTACAGTTCTTTATGCACCCTGATTTCTGCTTTACCACTTTAACAGTTTCTTATTAACTGCTGTAACAAATTACCACAAACCTAAAACAATACTAATATATCATCTCACAGTCTGGAGATCAGAAGCTCCAAACCAGCCTCCCTGGCATGAAGGCACAGCGTCCAGCAGGGTTGGCTCTTTCCGGAGGGACAGTTTGCCTTTCTTAGCTTCTGCCGACTGCCCACACTCCTTGGCTTGCGACCCTTCCTTGCATCACTCCAATCTCGTTTCAGTAGTCCGGTCTCAGGTCTCATACTGTTGACTCTGATGGATAACTCAGGTACTCTTCCCACCTAAAGCCCCTTAATCGCACCTGCAAAGCCCCTTTACCATGTAAGGTAACACCCAGAGGTTCTGGGGCTTAGGATATGGACGGCTTTGGAGGGCTGTTGTTCAAGCTGCCATGTACACGTTTTCTCACTGTTGATCTACATTTTATTGGTAAGGGTCCTAAAGTTCATAGAAGTAACGTCCCCTAGGTCATGAGCAGCAGACTGGAATTTGGATCCACATCTGACTTGAATAGCTGTCTTAAACCACAGCAGGTATCACCCTCCTTGCTTTATTGAAGTTCACCAGCATATATTGTAGCAGATCTTCAACTTTGACCTTATTTGTCTGATGTAGAAACTCAAATTAGTGTGATCTCTAGTAGCCTGGGAGCAATTCTCTTTGGGCGGCTCACCCTTTACAATTTGCCCAACTTATGCAGAATGATGTATTTATAACTGTCTTTTTTATGAAACTTTGTTTTTCGATTTTGCTAGTTCAAAAGGAAACACATTTTATTTTGTTTGTTGAGTACTATAACGTATGGTGCCTGAATCTGAATATTGATTTGATACCCTTTTTTAAATGATTTATGTTCATTTGAGAGCTGACATAATGCCTTTATTTTTTAATAGCTCCTATGTTATTTTCTTTATGGAAATGTATGCAAAGCATAGTAAATGTATAACTTTTTAAAGCTGTTTAATTAAGTAATGCCATTGGAGTGGAAAGCAATTATTAGAGAAAAACCATAGTGAGTTATGGGTACTTTCCATGGATATTAACAAGGAACCCTGAAACTTAGCTCTAGAGCCCTAATAGGGGCTTTGAATGGCATCATCAAACAGTACCTTTTTTAAAAGAAATTTGCCATTAAATGGATGTGCCAGGCCTCCCATGGGTGGTTGCCCATACTCTGTCAACAGTCTCCTATATCATTTAAAGCAGAAGACTTCACATTATTATCTGCACTAGGTCTCACTTTAAAAAGAAAGATATGTAAACTTGATAGAGGGTTGGAGTGGAATTCAAATGAAAGAATTAGTCAAGGAAAGGATATATAAAGATTTCCCTGCAGTACTTGACATTTTCCATTACCAGAATAGAATTCTAAAAAAGCCGCATTATCCTTTAACTCTTTCCTCTAAAATACAAAGGTTGCTGTGATTATTTTAACAAGGGATTATTTAAATTTATTGGTGATAGCTAGCAATCAATAAATGTTTTCTACATTAATAAGCTGCTCTTCATAAAAGCCCCCCACATTATTTTTTTTTCTTCTGCAGCTTCACACGTTTCTAGTGATGGAACTTCTGAACGGGGGAGAGCTGTTTGAGCGCATTAAGAAAAAGAAACATTTCAGTGAGACGGAAGCCAGCTACATCATGCGGAAGCTTGTTTCAGCTGTAAGCCACATGCACGATGTCGGAGTGGTGCACAGAGATTTGAAACCTGAGGTATAAAATAACATGTGCTCATATAATTTAATCTAGCATCATTATTAAACATCCCCTAAATATGTGTGGGCTTCTTTTTTTTTTATGAGTTTTTTTTTTAACTTTCAGGGCTTTCTGCTAAATAGATACTTGCAAATACCATGTTTCTTGAATTTTTTGTTTTCTATTTCAGTCTAAAATAAAATTGTCTTTTTTTTCTTGCCAGCTGATCATCTTGAGGTTATATTTGTAAGTGTGAGAGCCTTTTATGGAAGAAATACTTTATTGCAACAGTTGTGGACTAAAAATAGCAACGGAAATTTTTGTAGCAGAAAATAATATCCCCTCTATATGTATACCATTTTAGAGGGTTTTTTTTAATGATGTATTTTGCAAGCTTATTTTTCACTTTTGTAATCGAATTGATTAGCACATGAATAGGAATGTATATGATTCTGTTCAAAATATTTAAACATAAGAAATTGTCTTAGTTTAATTAGGCTATCTTTATATGTGCTTTTCTTTGCTCATGTGCTGTATATTTATAGAACTGTGTAGCAATGTAAAAGTGCAGCTTTTTATATATTTCTTCTTTCAAAAGGTTAATAAAGAAGGTTCTAACTCTAGAATGATCCCTTTTTAGTATCAAAAATATGAAAATTCCTTCCTTTTAGAAAATTGTCAAAATAATAATGAGAATTGAAAAACAAAACCCAATAATTTGTAAAAGAATAACTATGAATCATCTTTAACATATGCAAAATTACATATTTTTCTCTTTAAGAAAGAACTTCTATTTTCATTATCATGTGATTAAAATATATCTTCAAGTATGTTTAAAATAACAGCTTCTTTGGTATTTTTGTGTTAGACCACAAAAGAATATTTCTCAAAAAGCACCATTTTTACCTTGGATAACATATTGGTGAGAAGAGGATGTTCTTAAAATGGAATTCTATGCATTCAAATATAATTGACTGCTTCCTAAAGTATTTAAACTGCTGTTTTTGTACTTTCTATTACTGTTATTCATACTGCTAGTAATTAATCAGAAGTGAATTGTGTTTTGTGAACTTGCAACTATGAGAGCTACTCCCCTGCATCCTTCATCTTAGTTCTCACTCTCCTACATAACGCCCACTAAAAATATGGTGCTCTGTACATTGGGGACTGGCTGTCTATATTTAATGTGAAAGCACACCACTTAAATGTTTTCTTGATAGACAAGGAACAAGCATGTAATTTTTTTAATTGAAAAGATCTGTTCCATGACTATATAGAATTCATGTTTTATTCTTTGATAACTGGCCGTCTGTCATCTTATGAGTCTCAAATGATGCAACTGTCCTTTCCAGCAGAATTTAAATTTGCCTTCCTGTTTTACTGATAAAAAGATACTTACGCAGCTTAATTCTTCTTACTTGTTATAAAGCTTTTCTTTCAAGTTGTCATTTGAAATGAAGAATTTTCAGGTAATTTACGATATTCTACTACAATTATAATCCTAATCAAAATATATTTCAGAGAAATGAAAATGTGCCTTTATAGTAACATTTTCATAATAAAATAGCTTTCATTGTGACTTAAATGGTAAAGTATATTATTTCCCAACTAAAAGTTTAACACCTTTCCCCTTGATGTAGCATTTTAAAATCTGATTATATATATTTTGGTAGATGTTTATGTGGCATTCATTTTCTGCATAGACAAAATCCTAAGTTCTAAGTGATAATCACATAAATTTAGAAACTGGCGACATTCTTTGTAGGCTGCTTTATATTTTCGTACTGGTCTCCCATACTCTAAGATTAAGAAAAATTACATCAAATTAGTTTCAGGTAGAACTTGAGACGAGGATACAAGGAGGTTGAATGGTGACTTCCTACCATTTCTGGCCATACACATCGAAGTCCACTTTAAGAGTTGGGAGAAACGTGGAGAGGGGAGGGCCACGTCTCCTCTATTTCAAACACTAAGATGAAAGAAGCCGTTCACCAGTCTTAGTACAGAATAAACTGAAGTTATTTCCAAAGATCTAGTAGGATCACTGAAGCAGGAGCCAGATGGGGGTCCTCCCTGCCCTGTACCCAGCACAGGGCTCACTCTGTGGTGGAGCCAGGGGTGGGGGGGGCATTTGCTGAAAGACTTCTCCCAGGTACAAGCCCCCAGGCCCCAGCTGTGACTTCAATTGTGATGAACCCTTACACTTAATTATATCCACATTTTAATTACATCACACATTCAGGATTATGCATATGATAGAAAATTTAAGAAAAGTTTTTAAGTTTTTGCTCTTCCGTCCTCCCACTCTATTCATTTTTAGCTTTTGAATGGAAGGCTTAAAAGATTTTCCTTCTTTGTGTGATTGAAGCTTTCTATGATATCTTTTATTTCAGTTAGAATAATATTACCAAAGCAAATGATGTTCCGGAGCTGAGGAACAATTTAATGAACATAAAGGCATAGCAGGCTTCGTTGGGATGTCTAAAGATAATATAATCAGATTCTCTTCCTGAGGGTACTAGCACTTCATGTACTAATAAGAATGATGCTTCGTGCATCAGCGCAGCTAGCATTTCTTCAATGTGATAAATACAAAAGTATTACAGGAAAACCTTAGTGGCTGAGAAGGCTTGGTGAATAAATGATTCAAAATAGTAATGTTTTCTGAATACATGAGGAATAATATCCATAGGCATCAAAATATGTCTAAGTATTTTAAACATTTTGGAGAAAATATTTCTGAAATGTAATGTATATCTCCACCATGTCTTCTTTAATAAGCTATTCTAGATATTATATACCTATTTTATTTATGACTTCATTCAGTGACCAAATATTCACCAAAATACCTACTATATGTCTCATAAATAAGGTGGACACAGTCCCTATCTTTATGGAATTTTGGTCTATTAGGGTTGAGGACATTGAACTAATAATGCAGATGTGATAAGTGCCAGGAAGCAAAGTAAATTTACTAGGAGAAAATATAGGAAGTCCCACCTTCAATTCAGTGGCGTAGTTAGGATGGAGACTCCTAGAAGAGGAGTACGTATCTGTACATAGCCAGGGTGGAAGGGAAGTTGGTGGAGGAAGCAGAGGACAAACTCAGTCAGAGGGGAAGGCAGAGACCCAGATTCTGGCGTCAGCAGAGGCACAGTGCAGTGGAAAAATGCTTCACATGACACTGTAAAAGTGAGGTAATTCAAAAACGTATGTAAGTTGGTCGCAGGGATAATAGAATAGCATGGAGAATATAGCCAATGATTCTGTAGAATCTTCCTTTGTTAAATAGTAACTGCACTAGTGGGGGTAAGGATTTAATAATATGGGTAGCTGTTGAATCACTGTTGTACATTTGAAAACAATATAAGATTGTATATCAATGATACTTCAATAAAAATAATAATACAAAAAATATATATGTAAAGTAAGAGCAACGGTATACTGGCATCCAGCTCCCTGACTCCCCCCATCAGAACTCTCCCTGTGTCTGAATCCGGTGTTAATAGATGTAGATGGATGTTTCGTAAATGACATCACTAAGTCCCAGGGCATCGTAATAAGGGACTATTTAAGTGTTTGTATCTTGCAGAATTTATTATTTACTGATGAAAACGACAATTTGGAAATCAAAGTTATTGATTTCGGCTTTGCACGCTTAAAACCGCCTGATAATCAGCCTCTCAAGACCCCGTGCTTCACCCTTCATTACGCGGCCCCGGAGCTCTTGAATCATAATGGCTATGACGAGTCCTGTGACCTCTGGAGCTTGGGCGTCATTTTGGTGAGTTCACGACAGTAGAGCCATTAAGCCCAGTCAGTTCTTGGATGTCGCCTACACCTACATCTCTCTTTGTTGTTTTCCTTAAATTCATGAAAAATTGGCAAATCGATTTCTTTTCTGTACAGCCAATTAAAAGCTTAACCAAAGACTATCTCCCTTTCTTAAAACTTACATTGCAGAAAATGGAGGAATTTTTATTTTGATTTATTTTGAAATATTTAAAGCATCTGAGTTTTTATGTGATTAAGTTTATTTATTATTTTTCAAAAAGAAACAATACTATAAATTGTTTATATAGATACAATACCCAAAAGATAGACATATTAGATATAATGTGAAAATAGCAAAGTGATTCATTAACAGAAAAACCTTAGTAAATACGTTCTATGAGATTTTCAGACTAAAACTATAATGAAAGAATATCATTTAGAATACATTAGTAGATAAAATTAAAAATTTTTATAGTAATTTATAGTAGGCATGGTAAGCATGGTTTTTACAAAATGTGCTGGGCTGGGATGATCAGATACAGAACATTAAGCCGGGAAAATCTAGCTTATTTATTTTTCTCAAAAAATTTTTACTTTTCTGCATGTAATTTATAATGCGTAATATTAAGGAAAAATTTTCAGACAATATGGAAAGATACAAGGAACAAAGTGAAATCACTCTTAATCTCATCGTACAGAGATGATACCGTGCAAGGTGTTATTCTCCTTTGAGTGCCCCGCCCTGCCACAGTATGCATGCTTTATATCTTTCTATAGGTTTTTCTATATGTACATATATATTTTTGAATTTTTTAACAAAAGAGATTATATATACATGTAGTTTGAGTTTATTTAACCATTTATTTTCTAATGAGCAGTTAGCATTTTTCAGTTTTTCACTTATTCTAAACTGTGTAAATGAATATTGTTTGTGTATGTACTTGCGCTTGTCTCATTGTTTCCTTAGCACAGATTGCTGGGACGGTGTGTTCATCTGTATTCTGACATGTATGCCTGGATTTCATTCTAGAAAGTTTACCAGATCATGTTCTCAACTGTGTGCAAATAGATTAGATACTATTGATTCAATCTTAAATTATTTCCTACTCCGGTTATAATTTGCATGCATTTCTTTGATGAATACTCAGTTTTGAGCATCTTTTCATGTTTTTGAACATTTGTATTTTCTCTTTAATGAATTGCTATTTATGAACTTCACCCACTTCCCTATGGGAAAATTTTTTCTTATTGAATTTTAAAGCTGTATCAATATTTTTAATCCTTGGTCTGCCGTTAATATTGGAAATGTTTTTTCTGGTTTGTCATTTGTTTGGAAACTTTGTTTATAGTAATGTAGGATTTTATTTTTGTTTTGAAAGGGTTTTAAAGACTATTTATTTCTGTGTAGTAAGAGATGCCATTCTCTTGCTTTATGGTATCTGACTTTGATGTCAGGATTTTTTACTCCACCCCTACCCCTACCCCAACCCAACATTATAAAAATATTCTCCAAAAAACAGTTTTCCTCTAGAATTATATTTTTATGCTTAAATTGGCACTCCTTGTGGGATTTATTTGGTGTTGGTTTGTTTTCCCCCCGATGGCTGAGCAGTTGTCCCTGCAGAATGACTCTTCTTTTATTTTTAAGCTTTATATCATTTTCATTTCAGTAACTTTTAAGTCATCATTTATAATTTTCAAACTAAAATTACATATATATGTATAAGATTTTTAAAATAAAAGTAAACAACTAACTTCTGTAGATTTGGAAGTTTTAAGGGCTTAAACTGGGTTATATTTTCATTAGTAGCCATCTCCTAAAAATTTAGTCTAAATAAAAAAGAGCCTTTCATTTTTAATAATAATATAAAATTACCCATAGTAAAAGAGCCCTTACTTTAAATACAGGCGAATTATAACAACCATCATGCTTTCTAAGGTATTAGAAGACAGTCTTAGACATGCAGACAGGTATTTTACAGTTTCCAAATGCCATTTCTATGGAAATAACTTTGATTGTGGCATGGATAGAAGCTATGCTTCTCTCTAAACCTAATGGTAAAGTTTTTAAGAAAAATAGAAGACAGAGAACAAGTTAAACAATACCACAGGAGTACAACCACAATATCCAGACTGTGAAAGTTCTACAGGATGATTAACCCAGTTTCTCCACTAATTAATTGTAAGAAAAAATAGCCTAGGAACCTATAGATTAAAAGACACTTAAGAAACAATGTTTGCATCTTACTTGAGTTTTGATTCAGGCAAATTCTGATTTCAATTCAATTTATTAAATTCAAACTCTAAATCTAAGTCATACAGATGTCATTATACAGATGTCACATATGTGACACATTTGGGGAAATATGAATATTGATTGGATAGTGAATGATACAAAGAAATAACTGCTAATTTTTTTTAGGTGCGATAATGGTGGTGTGGTGGTGGTTTTTAAAAATCCTTGCCTTTGGAGATACATAATGAAAAACTTACAGAAAAAAAATCAGTTTGCCTGCATCCAACTGTCAAAAAAAAGAATGCTTTTTTCCTATGTAAATGAACACTTATCCCTAGAAGATAGGGATACAAAGCCTGAGTTAACCCACAGCCACAGCAGAGACAAAATTTATTTGGGGTCTCCTGATTGGCCTTAGAAATCTATGGCCCTTTTGCATGCTGCATCTAATAAACACAAATGTGAATATTCTAACATGAAGATCAATTATATTGCCCCTGATGAGTGAAACAAATACTTGGGGGAGTTGCATCATGTAGTATCAGGTGGCTTTGATGCCTGTCAGAAACTCAACAGGCCTTTACCTAACGCAGAGCTTACACGGCGTCTTACTCTGCTGGGGCCACCATGGCAAACTGCTTTCTCACAGTTCTGGAGGCTGGGAAGTCTAACATCAAGGTGCCAGCAGGGTTGGTGTCCGGTGAGGGCTTTTCCCTGGGCTACAGACAGCCACCTGCTCTCTGTGCCCTCATGTGGCCTTTCCTCAGTGTGAGTTCTGGAGAGAGCAAGGCAGCCCTTTGGGGTCTCCTTTTGTAAGGACACCGTTTCTATTGGATCAGGACCCCACCCTTATGACCTCATTTAACTGTAATGACCTCCATAAAGGCCCTGTATCCAAATAAAGTCACGCTGGGGTTGGATCTTCAACATACGAATTTTGGATGCATACAAATATTCAGTCCATAACACACAGTATTGAGAAAATGTAGGGTAGGATTATATGCTGCCCCAAGGGCACAACATACCTGTGGGGTGGTATATAACTCTGTTCATAACATATTTCTTCCAAGTGCTTTATTCAGGAGACCTTATTTCTTTACTTTCTTCCCCAAATTTTATTTTGAAGATTTCAGACCTAGAGAAAATTTGAGAGTAATACTGTGAACATCTAACATCTTGCCACATTTGCTTTTTCTTTCTAATTCTCTCTTGTGTGCACACATGTACATACTCTCTGTGTGTATGTATATATATGTATAAATATAATAGATACCTATTATATGTATATAATAGCTATATATAGATATACTACTTACGCACAGACATACATACATATATTTAGATATATATATCGTCATGTATATAGATACTTTTTGCCACACTATTTGCAAAAGAGTTGCAGACACAAAATTATTCTTAATAGAAGTTGATTCCTGGACAATTAAATTGTAAGAACTTGGAGTTGAGAGAAGTCTTAAGTTTGCTTAGTTCTCCCTTTTCCAGAGAAGGGATCTTTTCTACAAAGTTCCTGATCACCAGTCTCCTTTAGATACCCAACAGCCTGTTGTGTTATTACACATCAGAAAGTAAGAAAACTATTTGTAAAGGGCACTTTCTTATGTTTAACCACATTTGTATCTGTTAGGAAGTAGGGTGGGAATAAGAATTGGAGTAGATTTTGAAAAACTGTTTGGCAGTATCTACTGAAGAGACAAAGACCAAGTGATCCAGCAGTTCCATTCTCAGGAATTTACCCAACAGAAATGTGTGTGTGTTTTTATGTACCAAAAAACATGTGCAAGTGGATAGATAGCAACACATTTCAAAATGCTCCAAACTGGAAACAAATATTCATCAATAATAGAAAGATATTCTAGTCTGGGTACCCTGAAAGCCAAATCTGAAGCCAAAGTTTATGTTTTATCAAGTCCCAAGGAGCATAATCCCAGGGAAGCAGGAGGCAGGCCTGGAAAGGAGAGCAGAAGGTGCACTGTTGGGTTGTGCTTTTGTTACCAGGTAGAACTGGTCACTGGAGTTTATGGAGCAAGACCTCTCTCTAACTGAGCAGACCCTAAGTTTGCAGGCACAGAGTCATGCACCCATAGAATCTAGGTATGGGGCCCCAGCACCAACAGATGGGCCCCTGGTTTGACCTGTCCTCAAGGACAGAGCTCCAGCCCCACAGGGCACTGTCCTGAGCTGTACCTTCGCCGAGCTTTTGTATTCTACAGGCCAGCTGCATCCAAGTGAAGGAAGTGTCAGCCTGTCAAGTAGGCCCAGTTTCCTTTCTCCCTCTATCAGTGAATCATAGGGAAACCCCTGCTCAATGAGGCCAGAGGTTTGAGTTAAGGAAGAAGCATTGGTGCAACAAAAGTAGGTGCCCTGCACCTAGACCTATAATTTACTCATGCCTTCCGGACCTCCCAGGGTTGATTTTGTGTGCTGTGTCCACAGTGCACTGATTGCTGCTGAGACTAAGAATCTGTGTCTCTGCAGATCCCAGCACATGGTGCACAGCTCTCGGTATCGCTGGTTTGGGCAATACCTACTCAGAACAAGTAGCCTCCCTGGAGATGTTCTTCAAAGAGTAGTTCTCTCTGCCACGAGACCTTGCACCAGAGTCCTTGAGGACTGTGACTCTTCTACTGGAGGTGCCAGAGATTGCACACAGATTCTCATCTGTCCCAGCTACCTCTAGCAGCCAGGTCTGCCAAATCCTGTGGCCTCAGGAGCCGAGCAGCTTATATTACTTCTTGGGTCTATAGCAAAACTGTCTTTGCTCTGGGCCCCCCTTGAAACTGGCAGCGTTCCAAGTCACTTGATAAATGTAGAGGGGTGGGCAGTATATGCTGCCACCAAAATCCAAAGAAGCCCACCAAGTGCTATGGCTCTTTCTTAGTGATACTAGATACAGAAGTTTGTCTTTCAAAGGGGAATTTCTCTATGCGCCTGACCATGGGAGCTCTTAGGTCTTTACCAGTGTGACTATCCCTCGAATGTGTGTGCAGTTAACCTCCCACCCTCTGGCATTCGTGTGCTCATAGGCCATTTAGGATACCTGCTACCTCCTGTTCTCCAGGTCTCACTTAACGAAGACCTCAACATCGAGAACCAGCATGGGGTTCTCTAGAAGGTCAAGATGACCAAGGAGCTCCACAGACTGTATTGCAACAGAGCAGGACAGTTAGCAAAGCTCTGGGGCAAGACAGCGAATGCTGTCCTCGCCATGTAAAGACTTACTGCTTTATCTTTCCTGTTGATGGAAAGCAAGAAGACTCCGTTGACCCCATGGGTGCTCTTCAGTGCCGGAGCTGTACTGACTTGCTCCACATTCAGCTTGGCAGCTGATCCCTGCTGGCCCGTTTTAGCAGGGCCTGCAGTTCCTTTCGTGTGTGCGCCCTTCCCCGTTCCCAGAGCCTCCCCCTTGGGGGCTGCGCTCCTGGGTAACTCAAGAAAGGGGAGGAAGGGAAAACAGAGTGAGCTGGGTGTACCCCTGAACTGCTCCCTGGGTTGCATGATCTTGTTACTTTTCTTTTATAGATGAAGAAATGGTCTAAGAGAGGTTAACTAATTTGTCCAGGCTAGTAGATAAAAGCTAGTAAGTAGAAAAGCAGTTGTTTGAAGCCAGGTCTCTCTGACTGTGCAGCTCATTTCTCCCCTTCAATGCCTTGTACCTTCTCTCTGGAGCAGTGATGTCAGAGGACAGAGGCCCTGGTTACACACCCTGGAAAGGTACACCCTGGGATGGGTGGGCCTTTGCCAGCCGAAGAAAGAAAATGGCCTTCTGAGGAGACTGAGTAACTTGTGCAAAGTCAGGGAGGCCTCAGACCCATGGGTGCGGAATGTGGGAGTGGCCAGGGCTGGAGGGGAGGCAAAGTCAGAGCTTGGAAGGTACCAGATAAGCGTTGGGAGGTCAGGGGAGGGGTTTGGAAAGGGGAATGTTGGGATAAGCTCGGTGGTATAAGTACCCCTGTCTGCACAAAGGATAAAGGCGGGAGGCATTTAGCAGGGGCAGGGAGAGCCTGGGATCAGGTGGGAGTTGGCTGCACTTACCCCCAGCCATGGGCACTACAGTCAGATCCAGCCATAGTCTGCCTGCCACGCCGAGGGTTTGGGAAGGTTTGGGGTTTTTTAGTTGTTTTGTCTTTGTTCTTCAGATGTTTTAGCATTTTCCTCCTTAGAGTAAGTATCTTCCTTGCTAGGTTGCTTCAAATTATAAACTAAGGTTTCTTCTCCTCCTCATCTTCTATTTTCCAAGTCCCCATGCTCTTGAGTATAGCTTTTCTTCTCTCAGGCACAGTTTTCTTTTTCAAAAAGTCCAAATTTGCATAGAGCCTCCTAGTCTCCGGCACCCTTGGAGGTGCCAAGCCGCTTCTCCTCTCACCTGGGCCTCATCCTGCAGCCTCCTTGCTCAGGTTTGGTTGACTGCCCACCTGATTTTGTGTCTCCTGGTTTCCCTTTGTACATTATGTTATCCTGAGATAATAAAAACGTGTTTCTTTCCTGAGAACCAGTGGGTTGGCAGAGCTGCTTCACCATCTTGTCATCACAAGAGTGAGCCTGCTTGTCAGACTTACGATCAACCAAGAAAGACGGCAGAGTCCTTCTAGATGGCTGGGACTTCTCTGTAGCTGCACTCCTCCTTAGGGCCGGGGTTGAAACGGACGTCTCCTTCTGTGTCCCATCCTAGCTGCCTGCTGTTGTGAGTGGGCCCCCGCTGACACACCCCCCCTCTCCTCACACTGTGCGCTGGTTCTGTCTGGTCTGCACAGACACACTGACATCATTAGTGCCAGCCAGCCCACCACCATTTACAGCTCCCCCTCCATCTCTGCAAGCCTATGAATCTCTCAGCAGGGGAAAAACCCCAAGAAGTTGTTTTTTTTTTAATTGAAGTATAATTGGTATACAATCTTATATTAGTTTCAAGTATACACACAGTGGTTCACCAACCGCCCACACCATTAAATCCTCGCCCCAACCAGTGCAGTCAGTATCCATCAACATAGAAAAATGCTACAGAATCATTGGCTATATTCTCCATGCTGTGCTGCCATCCCCATGACCAACTTATATTATGATTGAGAATTTTTGTGCCCCTTTATCCCCCTCACCCTCCCCACCCACCCATCTCAACCCCTCCCCCATGGTACCACCCGTCACTTCTCAGTGTCTGTGAATATATTGCTGTTTTGTTTGCTTTGTTTTGTTTTTAGACTCCACAAATAAGTGAAATAGTATGGTATGTGTCTTTCTCTGCCTGACTTATTTCACTTAGCATATACTTTCTAGGTTCATCCATATTGTCACAAATGGCAGGATTTCTTTCTTTTTTATGACTGAATAATATTTGGTTTTTTTGGTGTTGATGTGTATGAGTTCTTTATATATTTTGGGTGTTAACCCCTTATCAGATAAATTATTTTTATTTTGTTTCCCTTGCCTGGGGAGATGTGTCCAGAAAACCTCCAAGAAGTTTAAAGGTCACTTTTCAAAAACCTAGTCTGTGCTACAAAGATAAGTCTTAGCCTTTCAGTTTTTCTGTTGACTTTTTAAAGGGCAGAAACCTTAAACATAAATTTTCAAACACATGGATGGCTACAGTGAAAACAGGTGGTTATAGAGAATTCACTATATTTATCACAACAATGAGAATGGTGGTAATTAGAACCAAAATAGGGAGGCCTAAATACAAAATGTTAAGTCTTTTACCATAGTTGATATCCTGGATATGTGGAATTGGATAGAAAAAACTAGTAATTAGGAAGTTATGCTCTCTCTTAATTTTCTGTTAACATTAATACCATCTTTTCTGAAGCAGTTGAATTATCTCTTTTTTGTTCTTCTTGCTCTGCATATAGCTACAAAAATGTTTTAAATCATAATATCATAGTAAGCCATCTCACTTTGGTTACACGGTTTTGAAATCTATTGGTTGCTCCAGTGATTGAAGTCAATCACCTTTTAAACCCACTAGTGCTAGGTATAATATTTGGTGAGTTGTGCTGGTGAAGTTAGTAATAATTTTAATAGAATGGCTTTGACAATGATTTTGGCAGACATTCTGTTTGTTCCTTCCTTTTCTTGATAGTATACAATGCTGTCAGGGCAAGTCCCCTTCCAGTCTCATAACAGAAGTTTGACATGTACCAGTGCAGTGGAAATCATGAAGAAAATTAAAAAGGGAGACTTTTCCTTTGAAGGAGAAGCCTGGAAGAATGTATCCCAGGAGGCTAAAGATTTGATCCAAGGTAAGAACATAATGAGATTTTACATTTTGTATGATGGGTCCTGATTGAAGTGGAATCATACCTATTACACATGGGTGTTCTGAAAGATTTCCAGGCTACACTGGTGAGCTTTCTTTTCTTCTTATCTGAACATTGTCTTTGAGTCATCTTAGCCACATTCACAGAGTGAACCAGTGCTTGGACCCACCAGCCTCTCGATCTAGCGCCTCCAAAACAACCCGTACATCTTTGCTCTCTTTTCCCCCAAACATGTGCCTCCTCCCATCTCCCTCTTTGCACTGCCAAGCAGCCAGATCACCAAACAGGAACCCGGGCCTCATCCTCCTTCCCTCGCCTTCCAAGCCTGTGTCTCGGTCCTGCCTCGCCAGCCCTCCTCTCCAACCCCACGGCCATCAAGTTCTTGTCATCATTTCTCTCCTGGAACCCCACAACATCCCTTCAGCTTGTCTCACTTCCTCTGACTTTGCCTGTCCATTATTAATCTGCTAAGTGACCTATCCTAATGTCGTGCCTCTTTCCTATTAAAAGTCCTGTGGAGAATTCTGTTAGCTTCAGGTCAGACTCCACAGTAGAACATTCAAAATTCAAAGCCCTTCATGACCTGGCCCTGCCGCCCACCCTGCCTCATGCCCCCTTGGGCTGCCATTGCAGAGCACTTGCACGCTTTCCGAATCCCGCGTGCTTTTACCTGTGCCCTTCTTAGCAGGATGCTCCTACTCCTCCCCAGGACTCAACTTCTGGAATTCTGCTATGGTGCCCGCACTCCCTAGTCTGATCCCTTGCCCTGGGCCCGGCCAACATATTGCATGTGCATTTTGCTATCACACTTGTCTTCTGATGTTATAATAGATGGGGTTTTGACTGTGTATCTCATCATAGCTCCTCTTTGAGTCCATCTCCTTATCTCTAGTGCCTTCCTACACTCCCTGACGTGCAGAAGCTATTTGTACACGAATGAAGTAGATCTAGCTTCACTTTGTTCATTTGGAGTTGACCCAGTCACCAGTGGGAGTCTTTGTTTTGGGGGCTAATTCATCCTGACTGAACGGCCTCCAGCCTCCTCAAAACAGGCTATTTTGGGCTTTATCCCTAACATCCAGTATTCACTAGGAGACTGGGTGTATATGAACATGTTACCATCTTTGTAGAAGATTAAAGCTATAGAAACCATCATTGCATGTAAATATAATTGAGATTTATCTGTGAGGTTGATTTTAAACTATGTTTGAAATGACAAATTATAAAATAAAAATATACTAATTATTCCCACAGGACTTCTCACAGTCGATCCAAATAAAAGGCTTAAAATGTCAGATTTGAGATACAATGAATGGCTTCAAGATGGCAGCCAGCTGTCCTCCAATCCTCTGATGACTCCAGACATCCTCGGGTCTTCAGGGGCTGCTGTGCATACCTGTGTGAAAGCCACCTTCCACGTAAGGCCCCGCTCTGCCCACGCAGGATGGGCTGGAAAGAATCACAAGTCCTTACTCTGTAATCTCGGAGACACACCCTTAGTAATGCCTTTAAAGTAATGTATTCTTTTGATTTTAGGTATGTTTTTGTAAATCCCTTCATGATGTAAACACATTCATTAACAGAAAGTGTATGGGGATCACACCACTCACTGCTAACCCACAAAATACTTATTTGACTTTTAGAATGAGTTTGAGATGAGGCAGTGGTTGATATTTGAAAGTTGAAAATTTCCAATAGGTAATGAAAACAATATTCATAGCATTAGAACTTCTTTCTCTCAAATAGCTAAGTCATTTTATTTAAAAATTGTAAATAAACATTAAGAACTAAGGCACATGTGCAAGTCCATTGATTCAGCAACCAGTGTGTACATAACATATACTAGAGACTGTGAAGGATAAGTAAGTTCATTGGTTTTAAGTTTCAGTTGTGTATTTGAAAGGCTGAGACTACATAGCAGTAACTGTAGATTATGCACATTTATACCAAGCAGATGCAAATAAATCAAGCTTACGAATCTCTCAGCAGGGGAAAAACCTGTACAAAAAATTGTACAAGGAGTAGATGAGTTAGGGGGAAATAAAATTGCCTCCAAAGGGATTCTCTTAAGAAAGGAGAAGCTTGTTTCCTCTTCATCTGCAGAAATGGATTAAAAAGTGAATGAACTAAGGTATGTTGAGGTGTGAAGACATTAACTGCAAGAATTTGTGGCAGATGATCCAAGTCTTGTCAGTGACATTTGATGCAAGGTTTTCAGTGATGCCCAAATCGGGACTAAGAAAAGCAGGCAGGCTGCTGTGCAGAGAAAGCCAGGCTAAGGTGTGTACAGAGAGCTAAGCTTCTCTGTGGAGTGTCTGTGATCCACCCAAATCACATTGACACAGAGGTGGAGGGCGAGGCCCCAAAGTGGGTCTAGCCTGCTCTGAGTTGGAACACTGTGGTCAGAGTTTTAAGTCTCAAGACACAGAACTAGTAAAAGTAATGGGAGGGGGCCTTTGGATTGTTGATATTCTTCAGGAATTTCCAGTCAGTCCATGTGTTTTTACTGAGAAGCAGTGTTAATTTCTTCATGGGATGCCTGGACAGCCTGGCTAGTTACAGAGCCCTTGGGAATCTTTCCCAGGAACTTCTGTCCCCTGCCAGGAGTTTGGATAGAAGGTTTTCAGGACTTTGTTCACAAAACAACTTGGAGCTGTGGCTACCCACCAGAAATGTCTTCTGCTGTGAGTCCTGACCGCCACGGACCCATCAGTCCTCTCACCTTCACAGAACTTCCCTTTTCCTCCCCTAGGCCTTCAACAAATACAAGAGAGAAGGGTTTTGCCTTCAGAATGTCGATAAGGCTCCTTTGGCGAAGAGAAGGAAAATGAAAAAAACTAGCACCAGTACGGAGACACGCAGCAGCTCGAGCGAAAGTTCTCATTCTTCTTCCTCTCATTCTCACGGTAAAACCACACCTACAAAGACGCTGCAGCCCAGCAACCCTGCTGACGGCAGTAACCCAGAGACCCTCTTCCAGTTCTCAGACTGAGTGACGTGCGAGTGGTGGGAACGGAACTGATGGTCTTTGCACCTTTATTCCCTCAGCATGTGCCTGAGGCCAGGTTTTGTGCTTTTAAAAATGTGTCCCATGGTCTCATTGGAATCTGCCTCTTAGGGAATTTTTTTCAGGAAGAGCCAAGTGGTTATCCTTGTCCAAAAGCACTGGACAGAGAATGTTACTGTGAATAGAGCACATGTTATATTGTTTTAGCGACCTAGAACGTCGCTGACAGAACTGTTCTTGAAAGAGCAAAGGTGTCTGTAAACCTTATTAGGGACTGGTTAGATCTGAGCTGCTTACGAAATGAGTCACACATTTCTCAGACATCTGCCAGCAAGAGTCACTTGTACTGTGATGATGATACCTTAGTTTCACATTGTGGATAAAGTGGGTTTTTAAGAGATTTGTGCCCTTGGAAAGCAATTTATCAGAGAAAAAGGTCTGTTTTCAGAAAGATTCTGTAATGAATTTTATGTGTGATGTATAGATATTTCTTGAGAAAGGATTTTAACTTATTGTGTTTATTTTATAGTTACATATGATGATAACCTGCTGTTATTAATCTTTTTCTAAAAAGTAAAAAAAAAATATATAAGAACTTAAGGCCCCATGCTCTGTATTTGGGACCCATCTGAGATGCATGCTAAGCTACTTATATTTTCAGTTTTGCACTGCTCTTTCCTGGCAATTTGTTTTAATGGTTATTGCAGAATATTAAGGTACATGTCTCTGTTCTAAATAACACTGCACTTTATAAAATAATCAAAACAAGCAAACTGTTTTATAAAGTGCACTGTTGAAAACGTATGTACTGTATTTTTGCCATTTTTGCCATTATCTACTTTAAATCTGTCCTCCTTTAAAACATCCCCCTTCTACTTTGTATGCAGCAAGTAGATGGGCATAATCATTAGCCACTTGGGCAACGATGTGAAGAAAACCTAAAGGGAAATTCTATTCAACACTGTGCTTCACATTTGTACACTGTGTTGTGCTACAGGGAGGCATTTCCTCCTGTAGTCGGGTATTATGTACATAATATTTTAGAATCATAACTATAACTTGTTTTGAAATTTTTCCGTTAAATTTTAAATCCAGAAACCATATTTTATAAACTTATACAGAGCACTTTTATTGCTCACAAGTTCTGAATTCATACAGAAAACAATTGCTATATGATGAAGACATTTTACATGAAAGATTGCTGCATTTTAAAATATGTCTAATTCAATCCCTATGCAAAAAAAAAAAAAAAATGAAGTGATGGGATTTGTATATTTTCTTTTAAAGCCATCACATGAAATGTCAGGACTGAGAAAAGTGATCTTTGCTATGTTTACAGGAATCATGCTTAAAAAGATAATGCCTGACATGTTTATTTTACAGTCTTTGTTAATGACAACCTCTTGAGCATTAGTTTGGAATTTGGGCATGATATTTATTTATTCCTTTCTTAGGATAATAGCAGCATTAATTTCAACCAGTTATGAATACTAAAAATACTGCACTCTATGTAATAGTAGTAGTATATTTATTACTGAATCAATGTATATATTAATAGCACAGGCATCAAAAATGGCAAATATTAAAATATTTTCAAAATATATTATCCTGTTCACATTTTTGTCCACAATGGTTATTGGAAATAATTTTTTATGCTTTTCGGTGAACAAAATGACCACACAGTTCTCATAGAGTTAACGAATGTTTTGTACTCCCAGCTTTCAGTCATTCCTAGTAATGATGGGAAGCTTACCTGAATACCAAGCTAGAGCCAGTTCACATGAAGTGATTCTATCAGGCACAGAGTTAGAATAGTCAAGAAAAATGTCCAGTTCTGTCTACAGTTCTGTTGAATACATTTGGAAATGTGTAAGTTAGTTCAAGTCATTTTTGAGACTCTGCATCCAAGTAGAAAATATTGCATCCTACTAGAAAATACTTATTAGGATCTAAGTAAATAACTTAAATTGTAAAGTAAAAACTGAGGGGACTTTGTTGCTACCGGAAAATGATCCAGAAAAATGGTCAATATATCCCTGATTGAGAATGTAATTGACTCATTGTGAATATTGGAAATGAAGGGGTTTCGTTTGCATTTCTTTTCTTTGCCTCCTCTTTTGATGGACTTAACACAGTGAAATGGTCAAAAGGCAGGCCAAGTAAGAGAAGGAAAGAGAAGGCTAACTCGTCGACTGGCGAGCCTCCCTGATCCATCTAGGGCGGGCTTCCGAGAAGACCCCAGAGGCGCTCAGAGTGGTGCCCTCTCGTCACATTTTCTGTCCTTGCCCTCATCAATACCGGAAAGACAGCATTTGGCACCACGTGCCACAGCCAGGTTGTGTGCAGGCTGATAGTGTACAGTGCTTTCCTGTAGCCACATCAAAAATAAACTAAGGAATAGTTCGTATGGAAATGTTAAATGAAAGGACTCTATTTTAGTATTAGGAGTAAAGCAGAAGTAGATCTAAGACAAACCAATATATACATTAAGTTCTCTTCATAATATTAACTTTGGAGATGGAGCCACATTGCTCCTTCCCTTCTTCCCTTACTGATTTTATTGTGTATAGATTTCATACCATCATAAATCCTGATTCATGTACTATAGTTCATAACTACATATGGCTGAGAAGCAGGAATGAGAAAAGGAGGGTAATACAGGAAAGAAATTTTTGAAGACTAGGTTCTCATAATTACTGTGCCAGATCCTATGGCTGAATGAGTTAAATTAACTATTTCAAAATTCATCAATTCTTCCAAATCACTATAAAGTAATAAATCACTGAACCACTGGAACAGAAAATCAAGTCCCCTGAGTTAATTTCAACATGCTTGTCTTAGAGTTACAAATTCACTTACCCATGAAAAAGCTGCCTTTAATTTTTTTTATATTACAGCCGATTTCTTAAATAACTATGTAAATGGCTACATTTTTACATATAAGGTAAGTTATTTTAAAGACCCCCACTAGGATAGCAGTGACTATTTTTTTATAAGGGAATTCCTTTTGTATCTCTTTTTTTTTAATGTCTCAAATACTTTATAAAAGTATGCAATTTATTGTCTACTTGTTCACCTTGCCCCATTTCAAATGCTGTTATTGTCATATTTATTAACATCAGGGTACTTCAAAATGGTGAGCATTTCCAAATTTATTGGCCCTATATGTGCCTTAGACCACCTGATCACATTGTTATCCCAGTGACCAATAATAAGAGCATGATTTGGGTGTTTGTCTTATACTTGTTACGTTCTTTAAGATCTAAGCAAATAAGTTAAATTCTGACATGACACTTACACTATATCAAAATAATTGTCTTATAGATAAGTCACTGCAGCATAATGAAATATCTTAAAATTATATGACTTTTGACCCCTCAAACATCTTATACCATATCACCCCAATTTCTGGCCTTTAATTAAGTATATGCCCCACATGCATGTCCGTTTTCTTTTGATACCTTTATCTGGCACTGAAATGGATATAGCAGGCCCCAATGCAATCCAGAATTTAAAAGTGACATGCTGTAAAACTCAAAAAATGGAAAAGAGGTCATCAGATAACAGAAGTAGTATGCATAAATAAATATTTTAAGTGTAACCTACCCGAAGAGAATAGCTGCTACAGCAACATAAAGGTTTTATTTGCTGTCTTACTAAAGAACTTGCCTTCCAATTGTGGCATTCTTTAGAGAGAATATTTTTCTTAAGAGTAGTTGCTTAGATTTTCTTTATATGGGAAGAAAGCGTATTTTCAAGGGTGCAACATTTTTCATCATAGGAACACCTGGTTAGTCTCATCTCAGTTCTCACCTTCAGCATTACATAGCTTTGAGCTCTCGCGATATTTCTTCTG